CAGAGACGCCAAAAAGACAGCACCGTTACTGACCATTGACTTGCATCGCTCTTGGCGCTTGATCGAGTTGGCCATTTCCCAGGTTTGATCAAAATCGAGGTAGCAGTACTGCGTAAAAATCGACGCCGTGTCATACGAGGACATGCTGCGCAGCCCCGCGATCGCGTCACCAATCGCGGTTAGGGTTGTATACTGGATGCGTGCGCCTTGCTGGATGGAAAAGTCGACCGACACGTGCGATAGATTAAACTGCCCGAGTGCATTGACGTGGTACCCGTCCGTGAGCTTCGTGGCGCTCTCACCAAGGTACGAGTGCTCGTTGAACCAATTGGCGAGAAAGAGATGCGACCCCGTCATGTTGAAGTCGGGCCAAATAAGGTCGTTCACCAAGAGGGGCTGGGCGAGACCGAGGTACGAGATACTGCTGTAAATGGCAGCGCCAACATACATGGTACCAAGCGCCACCCACATCCGGGGGCCCCACCCTTGGATCATTGGCCGCGCGACCGACGACGACATTGGCATCACGAGCGAGGTCGTCGGCGATGTGTCGAGCAAGCGCCAGAGCTTGAGATCGAGGAGCCCTTGGCGCCACAGTGCAACAAGACCGGACGAAAGCCGGGCGACTGGGTCCAGTGGTGGCCCTTGGAGTAAGAAGGCTTGGCCTACGATCGAGAGCCGCGCGTCGACGCGGTATGTATAAACGTTGCGGGACCTTCGGCCCAGGTGCAACAGAAGCCAGAGTACCGGCACGAGTGCGCACTCGAGGGCACATAGAAACGTGAGCCGATGTGTGCTGCCAAGCGCGACAACGACACTCTCGCAGACAAAGTCGTAGTAGACATTGTGGGTCACACACGACCGCGTGACGGTGGCGGTGACCGACACGGGTGACGCGACGTCGACGACGACCATACAGAGCCAATGAAGCATCGTCGTCAAGGCGCCGACGAAGCGGGCGTCGTGCGCTTGAAGTGGCAGTAGGAGCTCATGGACGACATAGCCGACCCAGGTGGCTTCCCATGCAAAGAGAAAGGTCTCGACGAGGGACCGCGCAGGTACCGTCAGCTGCGTGTGCACATTGAATCGGCGAACTAAAGCTGCGTCGCCAGAGCTCAGTAGCACCAGAGCGCTCACGCCTCGTAGCAAGAGCAGCGGTCGACCAATCCACGTCGAACCTGCGACGCGCGTGAACGCTAAAACGTTGATGATCGAGATACCGTTCAAAGAGAGCGCGGAGGAGAGGAGTGTGATCGCAGTGACGGTCGCTAGTACGAGGTTGGCGTAGAGCAAGATGTAGTAGACACCGATCGACGATCGACCTAGCACCGCGTTGCTTGGCGTACTGGACGTCGCGTCGTAGATGTCCGAGACAAGAACAAGTGTTCCATTATCGCCTTCGAAAGAGACGACTTCGCGCTCGCCACGCACCCACTCAAAGAGGATGATCCAGCTAAAGTACACAAACGACGGCTCCAAGAGCGGCTGCAGGAGAAGCGACCAACGCGGTGAGCTTGCCCTGGATGCAAACTGCAATAAACTCACGTTGAGGGACACGATGGCGGTCGCTGCTTCCGACACAAGATGATGGTCGACGAGCACAGAGGGTGCGACCACCGCAGCATCTGCAATCGACTCGTTGCACCACGTAGATGTCTCTTGGGCGCAGATACTTGCCACGGAATCGTTGACTAGTGCGAGCGCCATGACCATCGGCTCTGCTTCGATAAAGAGGTAGGACCCAATCGTCTCGGAGCAGTCGTCCGTCGTCAGAAACGACGTCAGAACATACGACTTGCGAGCTGCGCTACTGAGACAAAACGGGTTGCCGCCCGAGAACCGAACGCC